GTGACATTAATGCCAGGATTAACAGAGCTTTACAGGGGAGGAAAATGTGAGGGCACTGCTGGGAGGGAATCAAGGAGTGCTTTAGGTGGGTTTAAACCAGTGCTTAAGCTCAGCTCTGGTGTTCTGCAAAGATCACCCACCCAGGCAGTGACCCAACCCTTGGCCCAGGGATCTCAGGGATGGGGTGGAATCCTGCCTGGAGCCCCTCTGTGCTCACCCTCTTTGCCACCTGCCAGCCTGCCCTGTTCCAGCAGCCCCTCAGCCCCATTCCCAGGCTTTCCATGTCCCAATAGACCCCTTACCCCCATTCCCAGGCTTTCCATGTCCCAATAGACCCCCTCAGCCCCATTCCCAGGCTTTCCATGTCCCAATAGACCCCTCAGCCCCATTCCCAGGGTTTCCCTGTCCCAATGGACCCCGCACCCCCATTCCCAGGGTTTCCATGTCCCAATAGACCCCACAGCCCCATTCCCAGGCTTTCCCTGTTCCAGCAGCCCCTCAGCCCCGTTCCCAGGGTTTCCCTGTCCCAATAGACCCCTCACCCCCATTCCCAGCGTTTCTCTGTCCCAATAGACCCCTCATCCCCATTCCCAGGGTTTCCCTGTCCCAATAGACCCCTCACCCCCATTCCCAGGGTTTCTCTGTCCCAATAGATCCCTCACCCCCATTGCCAGGGTTTCTCTGTCCCAATAGATCCCTCACCCCCATTCCCAGGGTTTCCATGTCCCAATAGACCTCTCACCCCCATCCCGACGGTTTCCATGTCCCAGCAGATCCCACCTCACTGTGCCCCTAGGTTTCCCTGCCCTCCCAGTTTGTAAATAAGCTCTGGAAATGTGTGAGTGCCTTGGAATCATGGAATCATGAAGCTGGAACAGAGCTCTGAAACCCTCAGGTGCAGACATTAACCCATTGCTGCCCAGTCCCCACGGAACCATTTCCCTTCCTCAGTCAGGGAGCTCAGCCCGAGTGAGCGGGGTTTATAAATCTGTGTTTGTGCCTGGAAGCAGGGACAGGAGGGAGCTGTCCTGGGGCTGTCCCGGGCCAGGGAGCACATCCTGCTCCCCCTGGCTGCAGCTGTCCTGCTGTGCCCCTCCAGCCCTCCCAGGGGTTCTCATCCTGCAGGATGAGCTGTGCTCAGGCCTCGGTGGGAGCCTGGAGGCAGAGGAGGGGAGGATGTGACCAGCACCCATCTCACAGGGGGACTGGGGTCCTGTGAGCCCTGCTGGGGTCAGGGATTGTGGGATGGTTCCTGGAGAGAAGCGAGGAAGGTGAGGGAAAACGGGCAGTGCACCAGCTCCCGCCCAGCCTTTTTCTCTTTTCTCCCCATCCTTAAAGCAACTCTGAGTTAATTTGTGGATAATCCACACATGGCTCAGAATCCCAAGGACCCTGGGGAGAGCAGCACATCTGCAGCCCGGGGATGGGAGGGCTGGATTTGATTCCAGGGCTCGATCCCCCAGCAGCTCCCAGCGCTGGTGCGAGGCCGTGGGGAGGAGCAGGAGGGTGAGCTGGGCAGCTCCTGCCTGTGCCAAACCCCAATTCCACACTCTGCTCCCAGGATGGGACGTGAAAACCGGGCTGTGGTGGTGCCTGGGCTGTGCAGAGCAGCCCCGTGCAGGTTTTAGTGTTGGTTTTTATAACATTTCTCTCGTGGCTGTCAAAAGGAATTTTCAGACAAACCCGTGATTTCTCTCTGTTGATGAAATGATGCTGCAGTCTCCTGAGGTGCTGATGGCAGGGAAGGTTTGTTTTCTGCAGCTTCACATGAATGTTAAAGGGATATTTCTACCAGGCAAAAGTGGGGTCTAGCTGCCTTGCTAGTTAAGAGTTTTAATTGAAAAAGCAGTCAATAAGGGGATAATGCATTTTTCAATGGCATCTTTCTTTGGAGGTTGTGGAAAATGCTCTCATTAAGCTGACGATTAAAGCCTGTGAAGTTAGTGATGATCCCTGGCAGAGGCACAGGGAAGTCACGAGCGAGGGGCTGCCCGAAGTCTTGTACAAAGTCAGAGCCCAGTAGTCCGTTTCTCTGGAATCACGTGTGGGACCGAGTCCTGCGTGTCCTCTGAGGGTGGAGTGACACTGGAGAGAGCCTGAACCGAGTAACTCCGTGCTCGGGGTCACACATTGGGCACAGGCCAAATGAATGCGGGGGCAGGTACCAGCACCTCTTTAAAATGCAAATTGTTTTCTTGCTAATCTGGCTAATTTAAAGAAATTAGCATCCCAAAGCATCCCGATTTGCATCCCACCGCATGGATTCGCTGCTGTCGGTGCCATCGGTGTAAATCACCCGGAGCCGCTGTCACCTTGCGTTCCCTTCCCGAGCGATCCGGCCGGGAAGGGAACGTGCCGGGACCATCCAGCCGCGGGATGGCCCCCGAGGGGCGCCGGGGGGAGCGCGTTTCCCCCTGCCCATAAATGTTTTACAGAATGGCTCCGGGGGACGGGCTGCCCACCCCTTACCTCAATATGCTGGCCCAGAAATGAGCTCGGTCCTGCAGAACCCCGGAGCTGGGAGCGGCTTTAGCAGCGGGACTATGAACGGATCCCCCCCATTTTACAGGATCCCTTTCAGAGCCTCACCCCAGGATATTCCCTCCCAGAAATCCCAGATCTCCTGGAGCCCGGAGATCCCAATTCAGCCCAGGGAGTGCCCGGGCTGTGCCGGTTTCGGGCCCGGGCTGTGCCGGTTTCGGGCCCGGGCTGTGCCGGATTCGTACCCGGGCTGTGCCGGATTCGGGCCCGGGCTGTGCCGGATTCGGGCCCGGGCTGTGCCGGATCTGTGCCCGGGCTGTGCCGGATTCGTACCCGGGCTGTGCCGGCTCTGTGCCCGGGCTGTGCCGGCTCTGTGCCCGGGCTGTGCCGGTTTTCCCACAGCGTTTGTGCCAAGATAAGGGCACGGGAGATGGCGATCAGCCGCGCGGCTTCTCGGATCGGCACACGGACTGTGATACAAGGCACAGATGTGATTGATAAGAAGCACAGATGTGATTGATCAGAAGCACAGGTGCACAGGTGTGATAAGAAGTGCAGATATGATTGATAAGAAGCACAGATGTGATTGATAAGCACAGATGCACAGGTGTGATAAGAAGCACAGATATGATCGATAAGAAGCACAGATGCACAGGTGTGATAAGAAGTGCAGATATGATTGATAAGAAGCACAGATGTGATTGATTAGAAGCACAGATGTGATTGATAAGCACAGATGCACAGGTGTGATAAGAAGCACAGATGTGATTGATAAGAAGCACAGACGCACAGGTGTGATAAGAAGCGCAGATGTGATTGATAAGAAGCACAGATGTGATTGATAAGCACAGATGCACAGGTGTGATAAGAAGCACAGATGTGATCGATAAGAAGCACAGATGTGATTGATAAGCACAGATGCACAGGTGTGATTGATAAGCACAGATGCACAGGTGTGATAAGAAGCACAGATGCACAGGTGTGATAAGAAGCACAGATGTGATTGATAAGAAGCACAGACGCACAGGTGTGATAAGAAGCACAGATGTGATTGATAAGCACAGATGCACAGGTGTGATAAGAAGCACAGATGCACAGGTGTGATAAGAAGCACAGATGTGATTGATAAGAAGCACAGACGCACAGGTGTGATAAGAAGCGCAGATGTGATTGATAAGAAGCACAGATGTGATTGATAAGAAGCACAGATGTGATTGATAAGCACAGATGCACAGGTGTGATAAGAAGCGCAGGTAGCAGCGGTGGCACGGCTGGCACACGGTGCTGGCACACGGCGCTGCTGTGGGCACTGCCCGTGTTCCAGTCACCGCCCTGGCATTGATCTGCTGGAGCCTCAGGGTCTGAGACACTTCTCACACCTGGTGACTGAACAGGGCAGCTCCAGGGAGGGCTGGATGCGGTCATTTCCCGCTGAATGGGAGTAAAACACAGCCCCAAATCCTGCTGGTGCAGGGAGCAGGGCTGATTTACCCAGCCCATCAGTTCATTAACATGGAGGAGGAGATGTCCGTGGCCTGATCAATGAAGGAGATTTTCCACAAGATTAGGTTAAGCATTCTCAGGAGATCTGGGCATTGAACTGCTCAGACAGACAGGGATTTTAAAGATCTTTCAGCAGGCATGAATATCCCTTTTTTTGTGGAGGTAAAAGTGACATTTGGTACAAAACTCCTTCCAAACAGCCCCGTGCCTTGTTCAGAGCAGGAGCCACACTCAGCACTGCACCAGCTCGGCTCATTATGGCAGGACCTGTCACCTGTCCCTGCTGGTGGCACTGAGGCTGTGCCTGCTCTGCCTGCTCTGCATGCCAGGCACACACGGATGCTGCTGGGAAGCTGGGCTGAAAAACCTGCTGGATCTGCAATGGCCTGGCCCCTGCTCTGCCTGCTGGATCTGCAATGGCCTGGCCCCTGCTCTGCCTGCCCTCCCTCCCTCTGGAGCCTGGAGCTGGCCCTGTGAAGCTTGTGCAGAACCTGAGAGGGAGAGCCCTGGCTGTGCTGCTGGCTCCTCCTGTCCCCCTGCCAAAATGGCTTTTTGGGAGCTGCCTCAGGACTCTCTGGGACTGGGGAATGACCTGTTCCCCTCAGTCCATGGCCTGATTCTGTCCTTGGGGCCATCTGGGACACAACAGGGGCCATTCCCTGGCACAGCAAAGGATTTGGGTCTGTGGGCACCAGGAAGCTGCTGTGGAGGTTTCCCAGGGTGTGGGGGATCCTGCTGTGCAGCAGGTCCAGCAGGGCTTGTTGGGCTTGAAGGGGTAATTAATTTATAATAATGAGGGTGGTGAGGCCCCAGCACAGATTTCCAGAGCAGCTGTGGCTGTCCCTGGATCCCTGGCAGTGTCCAAGGCCAGGCTGGAGGGCCTTGGAGCGGCCTGGGATAGTGGAAGGTGTTGATGGCCACTATAAGTCCCTTCCAACTATATGGCCACTAAAAGTCCCTTCCAACCCAACCTTCTCTCTGATTTCTGAGTCTCTGATCTTTTCCTCTCATTCCAGGGGATGGCCAGGTGGATTTTGATGAATTTATGACCATTCTGGGACCTAAGCTGGTGTCGTCGGAGGGCAGGGATGGCTTCCTGGGGAACACAATAGACAGCATATTCTGGCAGGTAAGTCAGCATTGCTTGAATTGCAGCTTCAGGCAGCCCTCAGCAGCTTCCAGAGTGGATTTGTTGAGGAGCACAGGATGTTTGACTGAGTGGGAATGACTGTGGAAAGGGTGTTGAGGTCCATCATGCCAGGGGCTGTGGAAGAACATCCCATGTTGGGGGAGGGAATTGTGTCCAGCCAAGGCCTGTGTTCCTGTGGATGGAGGCAGCTGGACACAGCAGCACCCCGAGACTCATGCTGCACCTTTGGGAGTCTGGGATTCACTTCTGGAAGAGAAAAGCATTTTTCTCCAGGAATCTTTTGAGTTGGGAACCTTGAAGCCGCCTGGCTGCTCTCAGAAGTGTGTCCCTGTCCAGTGTCCCTTGGCTGTGGCAGGAATTGTTCCACACAGAGGGAATGTGCTGGGCAGGTCAGGTCCCACTGGGATTTCTGCTGAATTTAGGGATGAGCACTCTGTATTGTGCCAGAGAAAGTTTTGCCCCAGGTGCTGCCTTGGGGTGGTTTGGTCCTGCTGGTCCCAGGCACTGGAAGGACACAGATCCAGCACTGGGAGCTGCTTTTTTCCTGCCCTGCAGTGAGACTTTAAACAGAGCTGCAGCTTCCAGGAAAAGCAGTCCAGGCTGTTATGGCAGGATCAAAAATTCTCCAAAACACAGAGCTGCACATTTGCTGCCAATGGTTCAAATGTGTGGCTTCCTGTGGGATTCCAGCTCCTTTCACTGACCATTCCACAACCCTGGCCTGCTGAGAAACTTTGGCTGTTCTCAAGTTTAATGAAGCAAAAGAGCCAAACCTGGAAATGAGATTTTCTGCCTTCTTTTACAACCCTCCAGCCCTGTCCAGACTGAATTGGGTGGAGCTTTGGAAGAGTATTTTAAAAGCTTTTAAAAACTTGTTCCTGGCCTCCTGGCATGGGACAAGAATAACCCTGAAAATCCTGCTCTGGATTTCAGGATTTGGTTGTCAAAGCAGGAGTTTGGTGCTGGTGAAGCCCCCATGGTTTGTGATGCACCTGGGGGGAGTAAATGGCACCAGGAGGGGTAGGACTGGGTGCCAGGGATTTTTAATGCCTCCATTGCTCCTTGTGAGCCTCATCCCAGGCTGGGAGGGAGAGGAGGGAGCCCCATCCCATCCCATGGAGCCATTGGTGCCTTCCAGAATCCCAGTCCCTCAGGAGCTGCTCAAGAAGCAAAAATCCTGGTGGGAAAGTCAGGTTTGTGAGCTGAGGTGTTGGATGGGGAGCAGAGAAGTCTGGAGCCTTCCTGAGAATTCCGCTCACAGTTTAACCCATGGCTTTTAGTGACACTCCCACCCCTGCAAGTGCCTGGAATGAGGCTGGGAGACTGGATTGTGCCTGGATTTAGGGCAGCGGTTCCTGGGATCAGCTTCCACAGGGACATGGCCCTGGTGCCTCCCTGGCTGTGGTGGGACAGGGAAAAGGGAGCAGAGGCTCCAGGTGGGAGCCCTGGGTGAGCAGGGACAGCCCCGGGGGCTCCTTCAGGCAGCAAAGCTCTGACTTGAGTTCCACCAGTGCTCCATGGCCTGAAGAACAGCAGTTATGGGCTTTAGCACCTCTTTACTCAGCACTTCCCTGGATTTCTGAGCCCTCGAAGAGCTCTGGTTGCTTTTACTCTGGGGTTGGAGTACAATGTCTCTGCAGCTTTTTCCCAAAGAAAAAGCAAGGAAAAAATCATGGAAGTGTCATTCAGGGAACAGGTTCTCTTTGCCCATTGCTCCCTGGCTTTACCCAATTCCTCTGCAGGGCCATCAGTCACCTCCTCCCTGAGCATTTCTGCCTCTGCAGCATCTCCAGTGGGACTCCTGATGGGAAGCCAAGCCTTTGTGGGAACCAGGGCTTGGCCGTGTTCCCCATTTCCCCTGATGTGCAATTTCCACATTTTCTGCAGTGAGTGGCAGGGGCTGAGCCCAGGTTCCTGACAGAGCCCTTCAGCCCTGCAGCCATTCCCAAAGAAGGATTTTAAGAAGGGAATGGTGCCCACAAGGCTGTGGCCGTGCCCAGGGCTGGGAGGCAAGGATGGGACAAAAGGGACACCAGGCTGGGCAGTGCCACCATGAAACCTCACCCCAAAGCTCCTTCAATCAGTCCCACAGGAGAGAGGAACCATGTGGGCATCCCAAAAGTGCCTTCCCCTCCCCATCCCAGCAGCTGCCCTCCAGCCCTCCCCATGCTGGGATGTCTTTGCCAAGCTCATTTCTAAGGGCAAAGACCTCCAGGCTCCAGGGTTAAACACTTCCTTGGGGATGGAATGTAGAGGAGCTCCAGGCCCTGGGGCCCAGAGGGAATAACAGCCCTGGATGAGAGGTTTTGGATGGAATGAACCTTTCTGGGGTGGCTGAAATGCTTTGGGAGGTCAGGACAAGTGGCATTGTTAAACTACAGGGCTGCATCTGCATCGGGGGCAGGGGAAAATCTGTGCCCACAGCACTGATGAGGTGATTTGGAAAAGCCAAATGATCAAGTACACTTTGTACCTGACCAGCTGAGAACCAAAGTGCTGCCTGATTGATTTCCCCCCTTTTCCCTTTGCTGTGTGCACACGGAGGGAATTTCAGGCAGGATATCTGGGGCTTTGTCTGGTGTGAGGGGACAGGGCTGGATCATCCCCTCAGCCACGTGCCTGTGCATGCCATCAGGAGCAGCCTGGGCATTTGGGGATAAACAAAGCTGCTGAGCAGGAGCAGGAGCAGCAGAATTCCAATGGGGAGATACTGCCCAGAGCTCTCATTTCTCACTGCTGGGATGTCCCTGCAGGTTTGGGGAGGCAGGTCCTATGTGATAATTTACTTGTGGGCAATTTTGGAAGGAAATTGAGACAGGACCTCTGAGCTGGTTTTGATGATGAGGTTTATTTTCTTATCTTCTACATAGGCAGGAAGGGTGAGTTGAGCTCACTGCATGGTTCACAAGATCACAAGACCCTTAGTTGCAAGACATTTTAAGGAGTTATTGACCAATAAAACACTGCCAACAAGGATATTTATGCTTTTGACCCAATCCTTAAATATTTCATCTTATGCACCCATGCTACAGCGTAAGCTTTTTTAGCCATCATGTTATGACACACAAATCTACAGTGCTACATGCTAAACTCCTTCTTTACCTCTGTAACTACTTTTATTTTTTCTATATCTTAAACTCTGAAACTCTAAACTTTTCTCTACTTAGCTTAACGTGTCTCTGCTTTAAACCATAAATCCACATTCTCGCTTCTAGCACCTAAGTTTGGAAGCCTTTTCCAAGGTCTCAGATCAAATCCTGTGTTTAATCCTAAATTTTGGATTACAGGCCCAAAGTTCTGAGAGTTCCCTGCATTTCATATTCCACCAGTCCTGCACAGGGAACAGCTCAGCAGCTGTTTGTGCTCTCTGGGTTTGGGGGGAACCTTTTTCTTTCTCCAGGTTCTCACAGACTTTTGCTAGGGGGAGGGATAGCCTGGGGTTTGTGATCCTTGATGGGTGAGGAGGAATGGCCAAAAATCCAACAGCACCCCTGTGTGAGGAGGGAGGGATGTGCAGGGACAGCAGGGACAGGCCAGGGACAGCAGGGACAGGCATGGGACAGGCCAGGCACAGCAGGGACAGCAGGGACAGGCATGGGACAACAGGGACAGCAGGGACAGGCATGGGACAGGCCAGAGACAGCAGAGACAGCAGGGACCGGCCAGGGACAGCAGAGACAGCAGGGACAGCAGGGACAGGCAAGGGACAGGCCAAGGACAGGCCAGGGACAGCAAGGTCAGGCCAGGGACAGCAGGGACAGGCAGGGACCCCTGACTCTGTGCTGCACCCCCAGCACAGGCCCCAAAGGCCACTTTGTTCCCTGGAAAATGGAGCAGGGCCCACATCCAGCTGTGAGGGTGCCTTTGGGGCTGGCTGGGGAGGGAATTCAGCGAGAGGAGGGGGGATCGGTGCTGGCAGGGGACACGGCTGGGCTGGGACACGGCTGGGCTGGGACACGGCTGGGCTGGGACACGGAGGTTCCCCTCCCATCCCAGCACCGAGGGTTTCAGGTTTCCCGCTCTGCCCGTGCAGCTGGGAATGCAGGAGAGTCCCAGGGGACAGATCGGGGCTCTCCTGATCTGGTCAATCAATGAGTGCCTTAATAGAGTGAAATGAAGGGGAAAATGTGAGGGAATGGCCGTGGCACAGGGCAGGGCAAGGAGGGAGAGGGACTGAGGGAGTGAGGGAACAGGGAGTGAGGGAACAGAGGGAATGAGGGAACGGCGTGAGGGAGCAGGGGGTGAGGGAGAGGAAGTGAGGGAGAGGGAGTGAGCAGGGGGTGAGGGAGCAGGGGTGAGGGAACGGGGAATGAGGGAGCAGGGGGTGAGGGAGAGGAAGTGAGGAAAGGGAGTGAGGGAACGGGGAATGAGGGAGAGGGAGTGAGGGAACAGGGGGTGAGGGAGAGGAAGTGAGGGAGAGGGAGTGAGGGAACAGGGAGTGAGGGAGAAAGAGTGAGGGAACAGGGAGTGAGGGAGAGGGAGTGAGGGAACGGGGAATGAGGGAGAGGGAGTGAGCAGGGGGTGAGGGAGCAGGGGGTGAGGGAAAGGGAGTGAAGGGAGCAGGGGGTGAGGAAAGGGAGTGAGGGAACGGGGAATGAGGGAGAAAGAGTGAGGGAACAGGGGGTGAGGGAGCAGGGGGTGAGGGCTATGTTGGGGCTGTCTCCGAAGACAGTTTTCCCTGGAGAGGGATTTTTCTTTATGGAGTTCAGAGATAAACCTGCTGCAGTTGCTTCCCATGTGTGAGTTCCTCCTGCCGTCCCTGCAGAGGAGTCAATCTGATGATGGCAAATGAGCCTTGCTGCAGAGGAATCGTTTGTGTCTGTGTCCAGTTTGATGTGGGAACAGCTCCAGGTGCCCCTCTGGGGTCAGCCCTTCCTCCCCTCCTCCTCCTCCTCCTGAGGCAGTGCAGCCCCCCTGGGCAGGTGCACGATGTTGTAAAACCACAGCATGGGACATTTTACATCTTGCAGCAGAATTTT